AATTCTTATTTCCCAATTTCCTTGACCTCTTTATTTTTTTAGCATCAGAGTCATTTATTTATAAGACCTTATAAAGTTAATTATCATATATACAGATTAAAAACCAGAATAATACTGTAATCCAGAAAATATAAATCATGTTCTAAGACAATACTAAGTCAATGTGATATAGGGGAATGAACCTGCAACCTGCTAGACATCATGTTCTCTAAAATCAAAGACTGACTTCTGGGAACAATGGAGGTTAAGTGTAGGAAGAATTTGTTGAGAGAAAGAAAGCTTCCATCTGAGAGAGACAGAAGGGGGCACAGAAAGTAGGTGCCCACCAACTCACCAACTCCTCATCTCAAGGGTGTTTTATTGAGCAAGGCCAGGAGGGGAGGTGGGCTTAAGGTGGAACAGAGCTATAATTAATTAACAGGATTGGAAGTATAGTTTCTTAGGTAATATTGGCTCAGTGGTAAATCGTAGGATGGGTGTGAGGTGGGACAAAACTACAGTACACAACAACTATATTCGCCAGGGTAATATTGATTAAATGGGGAGGTCAGGTGGGGAAGCAAGTCATGGAGCAAGCACATATGGGCAGAAAATCATTTCCTGGAAGGGGTGAGTGGAAAGAGGTGCAGTCCTTCGCCCCAAGGTGATCAATGCCTACTTGGGCTATCAGTCACTGCTGTTCATCCCTAGAAGCATACGGGTGAATACGTCTCCTTTTTCTCACTGAAGCCTGGACTTCAGTGAGTGGGCCTTCTCCAGCCAGTTGTCTTCTCCACTGATTTCTAGAGGGCCCAGCCCTGTCTGTCCACCTATAACATTTCTACTTAACTTATATAGCTATAATAAAGGTATCATTTTTTCTTGTTTTCCTTTAATTGATATTATCTATCTATCTTTCTATCATCTATCTGATTTTTTTATTTTTATTTATTTGAGAGAGAGAGAGAGAGAGAGAGAGAGAGAGAGAGGAAGAGAGAGAGTGTGTGTGTGTGGTGTGTGTGTGTGTGGCCAGCTCAGCCCACCAGGGGGCGGGGCTGGTTGGCATGTGGTGCTGGGGGATTGAACCGCGGTCCCTGATGCTTTGCTAAGCTTGTTCTAAGTAGGTGCTTTAGACCACTGAGCCATCTCTCCAGCCCACATCTATCTGATTTTTTTTATTTATTTATTTATTTATTTATTTATTTATTTATTTATTGGCTGGCTCAGGCTGCCTTAAAGGCAGGTCTGGTAATGCAGGTGGAGGTGGGGTTCAAACCAAGGTATCCTGCATCTGACTGCATTTTCATGAACAGGTGCTTAAACAACTGAGCTAACTGGCAGCCCCCCATATCTATCTATCTGAATGAGATACTTTCATATTAGAGAAACGCATGATATTTAAGCTTGTGTGTTTTTTGCTTTCATTCCTCACCCCTCTACCTTTACTAGTATAACTACTAAACTTTATGAATTTAACTAGGCAGCTAATTAAATGTGTGGTACTGCTGCTGAACACTAACCTGTTAGTAAAGGTGAAATTGTTCCATTTCAAAAATATTTATTGTAGATCAGTAGTAGATTAATATTTGTCCTGTCTCAGTGTCTATACTCAGACAATGCAGAAGCACTTAGCTCTCATTCCCCCACCTGCTTCCCCTCCTTGCCTCCCTTTGGTCCCCCTTTTACTCCAATGAACTGGGATGGTTTGCTTCAGTGCCCTCTCTGGCTGGGGAGTCACCATTCTCCACTGCAGCAGAAGTGCAGCCAGCTAGAGAAGGCAGTGCTTCTCCCTCATTCCTGCCACTCCAAAGGATGCTGCTGCCCTTTAGAAGGATAAAAAAGGCACCCTGGAGTGGCTGAGAGCAGGAAAGTAGGGATCTGGGACTCTTATTTGCATACCCGAAAGTCATAACAAGCCTTCTAGAAGCGTCCTGTTTTCCTTGCCCTCACCCTCCCTGATGTAACAGCCCATGGCTGCTGCGTAAGTAACACTGCTTAGACTTGTCTGGTGGAGCCCTGTCCTGTATACTCTGCCTCTGTGCTGCAGCATAGCCCTATTAAAAACTGGTTTTGGTATTCCTGTAAACTTACTCCTGATTTATTTAAACATATTACAGCTAAGTATAGATGTAGTGCAACTGTGGAAGAGGCACAGCCACTAAAGGTTGGACCTCAAGACAAAACACACAATGACCACACCTACACACTTCCTCTACGGATGAGCAGCAGTGATTGATATTCTAAATAGATATCCTCACCTTGGGTCTGATCACATTGGGTGATGGAAATCTCCCTTTTAGAAGTCCCTGCTTGGTCCATGTACACTTGCTACATGACTTCTCCATTTGATAACGATTTAGTCAATATTACCTAAGTGATTATATTTGTAATCTTATTGGTTCACCAGAGTTTCTTCCCACCTCATACTTACGTTGTGATTTCTCATAGGAGCAATGGTACCTAATTGTATATACTTCTAATGCTATTAGTTAACTATAGTTTTTCCACACAGTCACCTTACCTCGTGGTTCTGCTCTATAAAACTCCCTTGAGAAGTAGGGTCCTCAGCAACCCACTTGGGACTCCTTCTGACTTAGATAGCAGCTTTCCTTTCCCCAATAAGAATAGTTTTCTTTCTCTCAATAAATATACCCTACTCTTAACCTCTGTTGTTCCTAGAATTCACTCTTCAGTTATAAAGAACATAAACTTGGCATACTGGATCTCTACTAGGCTAACATGTTGGGAGTTATAATGTTTCCCTTATGTTATTTGATTATTTGAAAGACTTCAAAGAAAAATTCAGGAAATGAAAAATTCTTTCACATGTGTGGGCAGCAGAAGTGACCAATGTGAGGACAACATTACAAGACAAAGTTGTTGTCATTGATAAAGAGGTGAGGGATACCTTAAAAACAACAAAAGAACATAAAATATATCTGACAGGTCCTATATGATGCAAAGAAGACTAACTTAAGATGATTTTCTTTGATAATTACAAAATAACCATGGTTTCTAATGGTTCTAGAGGAAGAAACCTGGAAAATTTAAGTAAAATCTAAAATTAATGTTTATTTTTTGTATTTTTTAAAAGAGAGCACAAGTTAGAATTAAAACAGAAAAATTACAAATGGTACAGAATTTCACTTAACAAAGTAATATGAATTTCATAGTATTTGTTGTAATACATAGTGTTGTCTTCCAACCAGTTACTCATATTACCAGATATATGCATGTAAAATTGAAGAAGATAGAAAGAAATGTATAAGAAATTAAGAAGAGAAAAAGTATAAACAATTGGAAAAAAGAATTTTTTTCAAACAAAGTATTGACTGCTTCTTTCCATAGACCAGCAGAAAAGCACAGTGCAGTTATCCAAGCCATCCTGTTTATATACATAGATAAATCTCTTTTCCTCACCTCCTCTTTTCCTTCTACCCAAATCAGTGACTCTTTCCTTTTGAATAAATTCATTCCCTTTTCCCAGTATCTACTGTGCCCTTCAGGTTCCATTTTTCTCTTTCAGGTTCTCACACTAAGGAGACAATATGATATTTGCACATGCGGGTCTGATTTATTTCAGAGTATATTCTCTCCTTGCATCCATTTGCAGACAAAAGACTCAAATTTATCCTGTTTTATAGCTGAATAATACTTTGTTGTGTAAAACACCACCTCTTCTTTATCCATTGTTCAGTTGATGGGCATCGGGGTTGTTTCCAGGATTTAGCTATGACAGATTGCACTGCTAAAAGCATGGGTGCACAAAGAGGGGGCCGCTTCCTCATGGGATCAAGCATAGCGATGGTCTCACTGTTCCTTACCATCAGAAACAATGATAGTTCTGGGAACCTCCCTGGCTGACTAGAGAATGCAGCAGTCCTGTACTATCTAGAGCATGGCCGGGGAGCACTGCAGAGGATCTGAGTCATTCCTCATTTCCTGTTTCTGCTTCCTTCTCCAACTAGAAATCACACAGTCAGCTTTCTGAATATTTGAGCAACACAAGAAAAGTCCAGCATCTTTATTTACATGTCTAATTACCAATGTCATCACATTCCCCTCCAGCTGTTAGTTAACTGATACCAAGTGCTAATGTAGATCCTCCGAGCTATGAACACGTAATCCAGTGGGGGAATCCTGGGACTGGTTATTTCCTATTGCTGGAGAGTCCCTGTCAAGCCAGTTAGGGGTGGATTTGCTATTGGGTTAGGAAATTGGGCCAGCTCAGTGTTAGGAAGTCCTGTTTCCCCTGGGTGGGGCAGCAAGTCCTATATAAAGGGATCCCTTGACTTGGCATCTACTATACTCCTGCTACCAGAGTACACATCTGTTTTGGAGAATCTGGTGAGTCTGATTCATTTCATTTCTCTCAGTTTTGGTCTTGATTTAATCTGGAGACAAGCATAGTAGGTCCAAATTATGATGAAGAGATGAATGTGAATGGGTTGATAAATTCTCAAGAGAATTTTAAATTTTATTAGCTGGATTTTCCTTTTCTTTTATGATAGCTAGAGAGAACTATTTTTGGTGTCCATGTGGAAAGACAGGAAATTTTTGATATGAATAATATTACAGAACAAAGCAGTTGTTTATTTTCATATAATTTGGTGTCTCTTTCAGAGGCCTAAGCTCATTAAGTGTGAGACCCTTCAATTCTCCCTGAATGTAGTCAGCCTTCTAGGACTGCAGAGAATATGATAATAGGACTTTCTTAGGAGATGCTCAGGGCTTCTGGTATTTTCACTGCTTTTTGGGAAGATGCTATTTTCCTCCAAATAACATATTGGAATAGGGATACATTCCTTCCCAAAAAGGCATATACAAATATTTAGTTCAAAGGCTAAAGATGCTAAGCCGAAGGTTGAAGGGAGGCTCCACAAAGACATGAAAATGTAGTTCAGAGAATAAACTTTGCTCTTGGAGAGAGAAATAATACATAAGCATTTGTCTGTTTCTCTGTGGGAGTCCCTACTGAACACTGCCATATAATTTCTTTCAGATTCTGAGACCCCAGGATCATGTCTTACCAAAAGCAGCAATGCAAGCAGCCCTGCCAACCACCTCCTGTGGTCATAACTCCAAAGTGCCCAGAGCCCTGCCCACCTCCAAAGCACCCAGAGCCCTGCCCACCTCTGAAGTGCCCAGAGCCCTGCCCACCTCCAAAGCGCCCTGAGCCTTGTCCACATCCACAACAGAAATGTCCTCCTGAGCAGCCTCCTTCGCCCTGCCAGCAGAAGTGCCCACCCAAGAACAAGTAATGGCTTCAGGATTCATCAATATGAAAAGAAAAAATCTGGCTCACCTGCTCCCAGCAGCACCTTCACCATTCCTCCAAGTCAGTCACATGTCCTGTAATCCTTGATCCTGTAACCCACCTGTGGTGAATCCTGTCAGCTAAACCATCTTTTGCATGCTGTGAGAAGTCCTCAGCGGTGCCAGCATCCCAGCCCTCAGAAGGAAGAGCAGCAACTGTCTCCCTTGCTCCATCAGGTGACGACTGTGTGGAACCCAGGCAGCAATTCCCATCACTTGAGAAATTACTTTTTTTCACCTCGTGAATAAAATGGATTATTTTGGCAGCAGAATACATCTTTTCCTTCTTCAATACCTACTTTATTAATTCTTTCTTATAAGATTCTTATTTATTATAATTTTTATTTATTCCCTAGATCAGGTTTTGATCCCTAGATCAGGATCCCATATTTAGTGCTGTATGTATGAATTTTGGGTCATACTAAGAATTATTTCTATATCATTGCAAACCCACAGTATTTTCTTCAATTAATGTTTGAAAAATCTCAATTCAAACATTTATTTAAGTTCTCAGATTATTCTCTTCAGCAAAGCTTTATTTTTACATCACATTGTTGCCACTGGTGTAACTAATGCACCGTGTTTGACACTAGGCTTGAAATCTCATTAGAACTCAATATACGAAGCCTTTTTAATAGCAGCAGATCTTCATTATTTCCTTCAGCCTCACGGTCATCATCACCACGACCAGCATAATGGCTCTAGGTTATAACTAGGATAGGAAGTAAGATATTTTTTAACTCCATTATTCTTTTTTTTTAATCTAAATTTTTCAGTATGTATCTGTAATAGATTTATTTATTTATTTTCTTTTTGCCAATTTTTTTATTAGTGTACATAGGGTATACAAACGAATGAGGTTTTTTTTTGGACAGATTTATACATGCACATAACTTGACCCCCCATTTCATACTTTTTTGGGTTCAATGTATTTTGATTATAATCCTGCCCCCCGTTATCTACCATGGCACCTCACTTCTTCCCTTTTCCTCCCTTCCTCTTGTCTAATCATGGTTTTCCTGTCATTTTTAATGTAACTTTTGCCTTTCTAAGTTTGGCTTACTTCGCTCCATATGACAATTTCCAGATTAATTCATTTTTCTACAAATGAAAAAATTGTGACCTTTTCGTGGCTGAATAATGCCCTGTTGTGCACATATCACACATTGCCTGTTCATCTTTCTCCCTATTACATATAGGTAAAAATTTTGTAAACAGAGATAATATTTGAATTTGAGTTTCAATCACTTGAAATGAGACAGCTCATGTTTATTACTACCTGAAGGTGGGAGACAGCTTTGGCTTAACATGGATGCCTAATTTATTTCTGTGTCCTTAAACCCTTCCAAAGGGCAAGTGAGTTGAAATCTCCTTGCCTTTTATGAAAAGGACAAGAAGTACAATGGATGATATTATTAAGTTTATCTGGATAGTCAGGGGTAGCACCCCGGAAACAAAGTCCTTGAGTGCTAACAGTGACATTAGGGAGGGTCTGCATATTTTCTACATATTATGTTAGTTGTATGTTTTTTTTTCTTTTCAAAGTTTCTAATACTAGGAGAAGATATCATATGATGTCTTTTAAATAAATTGTAAGTCAAAGATATAGTGTAAATCTTAGAACAAAAATTAAGATTAAGCAACATTCAGAAAATTAAATACTAATTAATTAAAAATTAAATGTTTAGAAACAATTGAACTAAGAAAAAGTTTTCATGATAGGCAAGAGGTACTAAGGGTAAAACATAAGATGAATACTGGAATGGAAAATAAATGACCAGCACTTCTAAAATTTTGAGGATACAATATCACACAAAGTTCTAGTGTGTTGTGGACATGCATAATGACCATGACAGTTACTGGTGGCCAAGCGTCATTTGTGGGACAGCTATTTCTTTGAAATCCACCCTGTAGACTCAGATGGAATCATGACCCATAGGATGGAAAAGAAGTCCTTTTGTAGAGTGTGCTGATGGAAATATTTTGCTGCTGAACACAGAAGAATAACTGAAAGACTACTATTATATACCTATTATTCTCCTGTGTTTGTTTGTCTTATTTGGTGGGTTCTTTCCATTCTCATTCATGGGATCAATTTGTTCCCTCTCTAGAACATCATTTAGTAGTCTGTGTAGGTTTGGCTTTGTCATCATGAAATTCTTTAGTTGTTCTTTGTCATGGAAGTATTTTACTTCTCCATTATACTTGAAAGAGAGTTTTGCAGGGTATATCAGTCTGGGTTGGAATTTGTTTTCTTGCAAGACTTGAAGTGCTTTGTTCCATGGTCTTCTTGACTTGATGATTTGTGAAGAGAAATCTGCCGTTATTCTGATGGATTTTCCTTTAAATATGATCTGTTTCTTTTCTTTAACGGCTTTCAGTATACTGTTCCTATGGTGAACTTCTGGAATCTTGATTATTATATGTTTGGGTGCAGTTTTAATTGGGTTGATGTTATTTGGAGTTCTATATGCTTTGGTTCCCTGAATGTCAGATTGTTGCCCCATATTTGGGAAGTTTTCTGCTATTACTTCTGCCCATATTCTTTTTATTTCATTTGTATTGACTCCTTCCTTCTCATTGATGCCTAT